AGACAACATGCTTAGTTTGGAAGGTAATAACCTTTCAGATATTGATGGTAAATCACTTGCTAAGTTAGTCAGTGTAATTAATCACCGTGATGATTCCTTTAGAGGGGATAATTACTCTTACCGCTTAAGAGAGAGAAATGAAATTAATCCCCTTGGATTGAGAGATTATTCTGATCCACAACCTGATATTACGTTTAAATGGAGTGATTACTCACTTACAGCAAATAATCTAGATAAGCTGGTTGAATCAATAGGTGAGCATGAGACATTGAATTTGAAGAGGATAGACATGAGTAGAATTAACCTATCTTCAATCAGTGGGAGGACATTAGTTTTCCTTTGTAAGATCTCTACAAAATTGATCCATATTGACATGAGGCATTGTAGTATATCAGGTAGTATTATTAATGAAATGATGGAGGAATGTCGTAGGATGAATGTAGCGTTGAAAGACAACATACTTAGTTTGAAAGGTAATAACTTTTCAGATATTGATGGTAAATCACTTGCTAAGTTAGTCAGTGTAATTAAACACTGTGATGATTCCTTTAGAGGGAATAATTACTCTTACCACTTAAGAAAGAGAAATGAAATTAATTCCCTTGGATTGAGAGATTATTCTGATCCACAACCTGATATTATGTTTAAATGGAGTGATTACTCACTTACAGCAAATAATCTAGATAAGCTGGTTGAATCAGTAGGTGAGAATGAGACATTGAATTTGAAGAGGATAGACATGAGTAGAATTACCCTATCTTCAATCAGTGGGAGAACATTAGCTTTCCTTTGTAAGATATCTACACAATTGATCCATATTGACATAAGTCATTGTAGTATATCAGGTAGTATTATTAATGAAATGATGGAGGAATGTCATAGGATGAATGTAGCGTTGAAAGACAACCTTCTTAGTTTGTGGGGTAATAACCTTTCAGATATTGATGGTAAATCACTTGCTAAGTTACTTGAGGTAATTTATGGTATTACATTTAAATGGAGTGATTACTCACTCACAGCAAATAATTTAGAAAAGCTGGTTAAATCAACAGGTGAGAATGAGACATTGAATTGGAAAGCGATAGACATGAGTGAGATTAACCTATCTTCAGTCAGTGGGAGAACATTAGCTTTCCTTTGTAAGATCTCTACACACTTGATACATATTGACATGAGTCATTGTAGTATATCAGGTACTATTATTAATGAAATGATGAAGGAATGTTGTAGGATGAATGTAGCGTTGAAACACAACATGTTTAGTTTGGAAGATAATAACATATCAGATATTGATGGTAAATCACTTGCTAAGTTACTTGAGGTAATTTATGGTTTTACATTTAAATGGAGTGATTACTCACTCACAGCAAATAATTTAGAAAAGCTGGTTGAATCAGTAGGTGGGAATGAGACATTGAATTTGAAGAGGATAGACATGAGTGGGATTAACCTATCTTCAGTCAGTGGGAGAACATTAGCTTGCCTTTGTAAGATCTCTACACAATTGATCCACATTTACGTGATTGATTGTAATTTATCAGGTAGTATTCAGGTAGTATTATTAATGAAATGATGGAGGAATGTTGTAGGATGAATGTGGTGTTGAAAGACAACATGCTTAGTTTGGAAGGTAATAACCTTTCAGATATTGATGGTAAATCACTTGCTAAGTTAGTCAGTGTAATTAATCACCGTGATGATTCCTTTAGAGGGGATAATTACTCTTACTGCTTAAGAGAGAGAAATGAAATTAATCCCCTTGGATTGAGAGATTATTCTGATCCACAACCTGATATTACGTTTAAATGGAGTGATTACTCACTTACAGCAAATAATCTAGATAAGCTGGTTGAATCAATAGGTGAGAATGAGACATTGAATTTGAAGAGGATAGACGTGAGTAGAATTAACCTATCTTCAATCAGTGGGAGAACATTAGCTTTCCTTTGTAAGATCTCTACACAATTGATCCATATTGACATGAGACATTGTAGTATATCAGGTAGTATTATTAATGAAATGATGGAGGAATGTCGTAGGATGAATGTAGCGTTGAAAGACAACATACTTAGTTTGAAAGGTAATAACCTTTCAGATATTGATGGTAAATCACTTGCTAGGTTAGTCAGTGTAATTAATCACTGTGATGATCCCTTTAGAGGGAATAATTACTCTTACCGCTTAAGAGAGAGAAATGAAATTAATCCCCTTGGATTGAGAGATTATTCTGATCCACAACCTGATATTACGTTTAAATGGAGTGATTACTCACTTACAGCAAATAATCTAGATAAGCTGGTTGAATCAATAGGTGAGAATGAGACATTGAATTTGAAGAGGATAGACATGAGTAGAATTAACCTATCTTCAATCAGTGGGAGAACATTAGCTTTCCTTTGTAAGATCTCTACACAATTGATCCATATTGACATGAGACATTGTAGTATATCAAGTAGTATTATTAATGAAATGATGGAGGAATGTCATAGGATGAATGTAGTGTTGAAAGACAACCTTCTTAGTTTGGGAGGTAATAACCTTTCAGATATTGATGGTAAATCACTTGCTAAGTTACTTGAGGTAATTTATGGTTTTACATTTAAATGGAGTGATTACTCACTCACAGCAAATAATTTAGAAAAGCTGGTTGAATCAATAGGTAGGAATGAGACATTGAATTTGAAGAGGATAGACATGAGTGGGATTAACCTATCTTCAGTCAGTGGGAGAACATTAGCTTGCCTTTGTAAGATCTCTACACAATTTATCCACATTGACATGAGTGATTGTAATTTATCAGGTAGTATTATTAATGAAATGATGGAGGAATGTTGTAGGATGAATGTAGTGTTGAAAGACAACATGTTTTCTTTGAAGGGAAATGACCTTTCAGATATTGATGGTAAATCACTTGCTAAGTTAGTCAGTGTAATTAGTCACCCTGATCATGATGATAACTTTATATGGAGTGATTACTCACTTACAGCTGATAATCTAGAAAAGCTGGTTGAATCAATGGGTAAGAGTGAGACATTGAATTGGAAAATGATAGACATGAGTGAGATTAACCTATCTTCAGTCAGTGGGAGAACATTAGCTTGCCTTTGTAAGATCTCTACACAATTGATCCACATTGACATGAGTCATTGTAGTTTATCAGGTAGTATTATTAATGAAATGATGGAGGAATGTTGTAGGATGAATGTAGTGTTGAAAGACAACATGTTTTCTTTGATGGGAAATGACCTTTCAGATATTGATGGTAAATTACTTGCTAAGTTAGTCCATGGAGAAAATGAAATAGTCGGTGTAATTAGTCTGTAATTAGTCACCCTGATCATGATGATAACTTTATATGGAGTGATTACTCACTTACAGCTGATAATCTAGAAAAGCTGGTTGAATCAATGGGTAAGAGTGAGACATTGAATTGGGGTGCGTTCGAGCCAGAAAAATATCCGTGCGAGGTCTGTGTATTTACACGGAAGTTAAATGCCGTGCGTGGCTCGAACGGGGGTAAGATGTAAAAAACATCTGGAACACGCTCGCCTATTTTGACCACCAAATTTAGGGTTATAGAACCGTGTATCGCTGTCAAAGGCCATTATCGCGACCATTAATCATGTTTTAATGACTCTACCGTCTGACGGTCAACATGAATGCAATTCAACACGCGCGAAAACCATAGGCCTGTCCAGTTTTACAAAAACAAATGCATTCACTGACCTGTTAATGTTATAGCATCATCTTCATCATTTCAACATGTCTGTGTGGAACGAACCTATGATACGTTACCTTCTCTCATTGTGGGGGGGGGGGGGAGACAGAACTGGACGGCACCCGCTGAAACAGTGGTATTTACAAAGAAATAACTGCAAAGATTGAAGGAAAATTTAGGGGAAAGGTGACGGTGACACAGGTCACCAATAAACTGAAGTATTTGCGTAGGGAGTACAGTACAAGTGCGTGAAGCGTGGTTAGAAACGTAAATATTGCGTAGCATAATGGGATATACTATTGCCTCGCTGATCTCAAACGAGTAAATTTTTACACGGTTAGACAAGATAAGTTTGTGCTCGAATGCGGGGACCCCCTGTGGTGTAAAGCCGTGCGTTTACCTGTCATATACACGGAATTTAATAGGTGTGTATGGCTCGAACGCACCCTTGGAAAATGATAGACATGAGTGAGATTAACCTATCTTCAGTCAGTGGGAGAACATTAGCTTGCTTTTGTAAGATCTCTACACAATTGATCCACATTGACGTGAGTGATTGTAATTTATCAGGTAGTATTATTAATGAAATGATGGAGGAATGTTGTAGGATGAATGTGGTGTTGACAGACAACATGCTTAGTTTGGAAGGTAATAACCTTTCAGATATTGATGGTAAATCACTTGCTAAGTTAGTCAGTGTAATTAGTCACCCTGATCATGATGATAACTTTATATGGAGTGATTACTCACTTACAGCTGATAATCTAGAAAAGCTGGTTAAATCAATAGGTGAGAATGAGACATTGAATTTGAAGAGGATAGACATGAGAAGAATTAACCTAGCTTCAATCAGTGGGAGAACATTAGCTTGCTTTTGTAAGATCTCTACACACCTGACCCATATTGACATGAGGCATTGTAGTATATCAGGTAGTATTATTAATGAAATGATGGAGGAATGTCATAGGATGAATGTTGAAACACAACATGCTTAGTTTGGAAGGTAATAACCTTTCAGATATTGATGGTAAATCACTTGCTAAGTTACTTGAGGTAATTTATGGTTTTACATTTAAATGGAGTGATTACCCAATCACAGCAAATAATTTAGAAAAGCTGGTTGAATCAATAGGTGGGAATGAGACATTGAATTTGAAGAGGATAGACATGAGTGGGATTAACCTATCTTCAATCAGTGGGAGAACATTAGCCTTTGTAAGATTTCTACAAACCTGGTCTATATTGACATGAGTTATTGTAGTCTGACAGGTAGAATTATTTATATAATGATTCAGGAATGTCATAGAATGAATGTAGTATTGAAAAGCAGCATGATTTTTTTTTTTGGAGGGTAATGACCTTTTTGAATTAATGATAAATCTTCTGAGTAAATCAGGATAATGTTTCAGATTGAGTAATTGTTTGCTTACAAACAGTAATGATAATAAATGCTTAGTCTGGAGGGTAGTGAGCTTACAGATAATTACTACTTATTTTCAGGTGCAGATCCAGTGTACACCAGGAAATTGGGCCCACCTCACCCCCCCCCCCCCCCAAAAAAAAAAGAAAAAAGCAAAAAGAAGAGAAAGAGTGAAGGACGTATTAAATAAGCTATATTTCAATTAAAATTTCATACCATTGTTTGCTCTTAAGCATTCTAAACAAAATTCTCAAACACAGCCCCCTCCCCATACTTTACTTTTGTGCTAATTGTATTGACACTCTTGTCATTGCATTGAAAGAAATAAACCAAAAATTGGTATTTGTTGAAGTTAGTTTTATCATTTTTGTGTTACAGAAACCCCTCCTTTTAGACAACCCTATTAAGGGAACTCTTTTTCCATGAAAAATGAGGACATATATCTTTTAACTCTGTTGCCAACCCCTATTAGGGGATGGGACACTTTCTGAGTGTGCCAAATGATCAAATAATCTTTATAAACATTTAATTACCCCTACAGACACTTTTTTTTTCATTTATCACAACTGCAGCAGTTGCAAAATTAGAAAAATTCATTCAACTTTATATTTGTCAGCTTTTGAGCAATTAAAGATAATTTTCTCCTCGGAAACCTTAAGAGTAAATATTAGTCTGGGCCTACTGCATGTGTTTACTTTGTATAAACCGATCTCTCTCACTTTTGACCCTTACTTAACCATGGGGATTGTTTTTTTCTTAGTTTTTTGTGTACTTTCATATAGGCTTTTAATCCTGGCCATACCATAACATGTTATTCTTTTCAATTTTAACATTGCATCATTAAACAATAAGGGGAACATATATAACATATATAATTACATATATAATATATAATTACATTATAATTATAATATTATAATTATATATAATTATAATATATAATTATATATATAACATATATAATTACATTTCTGCTGATTTTATATTATAAAAGAATTTCCAAAAGTAGATGAAGTATTTAACATTAAACTTTTAAAGAAATCGCAACACTAAATAATAGATGATGCTAATGTCAGGCGTGTATGCCTGAATTTTAATTAACCATAATCATTGCTATGCTCGATGAAACAACCAAATATGTTTCGGCAGGGTCTACTGCCATCATCATTGAGTGTTTATAGATGTGGGAGTTCCTGTCCACTGACAAGTGTTCGCACATGCATATGTTTCGAAATGTCGACTGGTTTCTCCGATATATAAGAGCCTCGCAGCCTGTACACTCAAATTTATACACCACACGCGCAGGGATACTGGCAGGAGCAGAGTCATTAACATTTAACATATTTTTTATTTTAAATGAAGAGAATACTAGCTTAAATTCAGAATCTACAAAATTGCTTAGAGAGCTATCAAATCTTACAGGAAACAATATTGAAATAATTACCTAAATATGGCCGTTTCAAGAAAAATAGTGTGGGTGTTGCTTCTACATTACCTCCTTTGCCATCTTTGCACGACGAGCAAATGCAGGATAGATATTTAACAAATTAATTTGTTTATAATCATAATGGAGAGGAAACAAATTTTTCTTACGAATGCTGACTAAGGTAGTGATATCTTGTGAAAACCAGCCCAACTATTGTTAATAAATTAATAAATAATAAATAAATAATAAATACAAAAACTGTAGGATTTCAAGAGTAACCCAGCAAACGTATTTTTGCGGAAGGCAGGTCGAAGCATAGAGAAAATAGAACAGATCAAAATCAACCCCTGCTCCGGGGAAATTAGAATGTCAAGGAAGTGGAGTGTTTGTTCAGCTTTTTTTCTAAGTAAATTTTATATTGGGATGACGAGAATTACGATAATGACAAAAAATAAAGAGGCATCATCCTTATGATTAAAAACGCAAAACATATCATCAACATAACATCTATAATTTAAAGAACCTTGGGACCTTGATATTGCTGAAGCCATACATTTCCATGGTGGCCTATATAAAAATATTAGCCAGTACAGGGGCAGATGGAGACTCCATGGAGACGCCATCAATTTGATCAAAAATTGATCGGAACTACAAAATTAACAATAGTTATATTTATGGCTAATTAAAACACAGGCATACATGCCTGACATAAGCATCATTTATAGTGTCGTAATTGCTTTAACGTTTATAAAGGAATTGTATTTTGCATTGCAAATTATTGCTATAACTAAGTTCTAATTCTACCCTAACTGATTCTTATGTCAATAAAAATAAAATTATAAAGAATGTATGTCATCATTATATGTAAACATACTAAAAACCCCTATTAAGGAAAGAATTTTGTATTTTTGGCTAGTGTTGCCTGAATCCCTATTCTGGGGACACCACTATTAAGGTGACACTTTTTTTGGTCCCAAAGGTGTCCCCTTAATAGGGATTCTACTATAGTTAAATTATGTAAGATTCATTAATAACTGCTAAGCAATATTGATTAAGTGTATTTAAGATATTTAATAGATGATGCAAGTACAATTACCGTAAGCTATATAGTAGTAGCCTGCCATTTTCTCTTACTGTACATTCTTGTGCTGGGAATCATAAATCAGATTTTGTTTTTTTCTGATGGATTCCACGGACAATATAGTTGATTGGACATGGTCTGTTGACTTTCAACTGACAAAAGCAACTTTATACTTAATTGAGATAAGTCCAAAACATACAAACATATAAGATCTTATTACAATATTTATACTTTGTTGGTTATTATTTAAATACCAATCACAACTAAGTAAATAACGAGTATAATGTGGTATGAAATATATTGTTTTTTATTAAATACATTTAGTTCTTAATTTCGAAATTTGTTGGCATTTTTTTTTCTTAAGCAATCGTTGTGATAACCCGTAATGGAAACAAATATTCATATGGATTCATTAATGTTGTTTAATGTTTAAATTAAACAGTTTATAATCCAAGAAAATGTAGCCATATTCCTGTAAAAATGTAGGTATACTGTATATGAAACTAGAGGGGAGCAGACAGCAACTTTCTGATATTAGCTTATGAGTCACAACTATTGGTAATTTTTACATAATGTGGTATATTTAACAACTACTGTACAGTATGTTTTTTATTAGCTATTCCTATAATCTTATATTCATATTCCCTTATGCATCAGTGGCGGCTCCAGGATATATTTTATGAGCTGTCTGACAGGGAGACGAGCTCATAGGCCAGAGTCCAACTGCCGGACGATCTCTGTCTGATGTTAGGGCTTGACCTGTCTGGTGGGAGACTTAATCCCTTGCTGCCCCTCCCCCACTGGTGCTCCCCTGTTATGCATACATTAGTTAAACTAATAGTGAATCGACAAGTAGCAAAATGATAAAATGTTCATTTTTTGTCGAATTTTTGAAATTTTGGCAGGACCACTGGAGATCAGTGTAAAGGTAAAGAACTAAGTTTCACACCGAGAGAACTAAGTCTATTCTGCATTTCAACATGATAGTGTTGTCTACAAATAACTATGAATATTATTTAACACTTTTATTATGATGCACAGTTGACTGTAATTTGTACATTTCCCTTTGTATTTTAATGTTGTAATCAGTACTCTTTTATTGAATTATCTGGTGTAATTTAAACATTTTAATATTACTTAAAATTTGTTTGTACATGTACATTTCAAATACAGTAACTTTTTGTATCTACCAGTTATAACAAGTACCGTATAATAAAGTTCGTCTGTTAGATGCAGCCCATTTGTCAGCATTCTCTTATTTACTATTGTATGTAATGTTAAATATGGCTATTCCACCTACCACTTCAAATTATAACTAGAGAACAATCTGAGAGCACCTCCGCCCACATCATAATTGTCCTCTTTATAAAATTCCCATGCATTTTTGTCCTCTCGCTTTTTATGTGGGAACCTTTGAGTATGACGTCCCAGACCTAAATATCTCAAAAACTGATTGACTGATCTTAATAATTAAACCTTCTGTTAACCAAGTGTTAATGGAGACAATCTAGATTTGGGTGTAAATTTCGGGGGTCATTTAAAGTAATAATCTGTCAAATCTAAAGATCTCAAACACTCTGTCAATCTAAACGAAACTCTCTAGAATGCTTTGCTATGGTTCAAGGAAGAAATGATTAAGTTTTGGTGACGGTCTGGTGTAGGGAACGTCCCCATCAGGAAAAATTCCTTCCCCTTCCAAGGGCGGCGCTAGCAGGGGACGGGGAAATTTCAAGGAAGGTCGTCGGGGAAAAATTAAATCTCGAGCGCCGAAAGTATAATTCATGCTGTCAAAATTTTAGGATTAAAAACTGTTTAGTGCGAGTAGGACTACAGTATGTGCGAGGTGTTGTATACTATTCGATTTTACACCCTTCATATAATACATAAATTTGTTTTTCTCCCCTACGAATTTTGTTTTTTTGCAGGGCCTCATGTTGGGGAGAGCTGTCCTCCACGTCGGGGAGAAAAAAATAATTATATGGAGTATTTTCTACATATTAGTGTACTCTAAAATCGATTAAATAAGCCCTAAATTTTCGGGGGCTTTACCCCAGGACCACATTCGAAACGTTTCAATCGAAGCCCGACCACGCCCACTTTGCTTTCGTCGGGGAAATCTGGCCGCTCGTCGGGGGAATCTCCCCCGTCGGGGACCTCGCCCCACCCCCTGTCGGGCAAATCCTGGCGCCACCCCAGTACCTGGGTACTAGGCCTATAGATATTCACGAAATAGATTAAAACATCCCTAGAATACTATAGAGAGCATTTGACTATACACAACACCTAGAAGTACCGGTAAAAACTCACCTCAGACAACATTCCGGTTTTTCTGCTTATCTCTTAAATGATTGTTGATGAAGAAGAAAACTTGGATAACACAGTACAAATTCATAGAAATTGAGGCCACTTGCGATTCAGGAAAGTGAATATGGTGTCTAGTCGAAGTTTCAGGCATGATACGGCCTATAAGTTTAAAGTATTAAATACTTGTTCATTTGTTGTTATTTTTTCCATTCTCAATTTTCACTTTGATTTCTATATGGGGAATGGGGAATGCCATTTCCCCTTGGCTACGCTACGCTGCTCCATAGTCTAAGGAACAATATTGAAGCCTGCTACTGGTTTGTGGTATTCTATAAGTCGCTTTCTAAGCAACGTCTCGGTTAGGATCTCGGTGGTGTTTGAGATTCTGTCAAAGGGAAAAGATGCGTGGACATAATAATTGTGATGTGGGCAATGGTATACACTCTCGAAGATGTGCTCTAGTTATCATTAATAATTAATAACCCTCATCAATATTATTCTTATTATCATTCGGTATTTCCAGTAATTTAAATTCTTGTTGCTGAGTTTTCTTCACAGCCGACAACATTTGTCATTAATAGTAGGCTAATCATCTTCTTGGTTCCTGTTAACTAATTTTAATTTACATGTTAAAGAAATTCCATTACTCTTTAAATTATCCCTTTGTTATGAATATACGCTGACGACCTTGAAATTTATAAGAATTGTAGACGGCGACTCAATTCTTCTTTTGGATGACCATCACTTATGACTGGTCACTGAAGTGGGGATCATAAACCTGGAAATAAGGGAGCGGTAGCGTCAGGGGGGAAAAGCACACCGTCAAGAAAAAAAAAAGAAAACTATATGTATATATTTTTTTATTAGAGACTCTAAAATCTATTAAAATAAGCTTTTGAAATCCCTAAATTGTCATCGTTTTCGGGACACCCTGGACTCGTAGGGTACTTCACCCAAGTCAGGGACATCGGACCTCAGTCGGGCAAATCCTGCCGCCAGCCCTCTGCCTGGAAAATGTAAATTATTACTGTTAAGAAAACGATCCTAATTTTTATTTAGGCCTATTAGGTTATCAACGATAATATTATTGAAAGAGTCCTTACACAAACATTTTAGTGTTCATGTTGACTCTAAACTTAAATTTTCTGCAGAAAAGGCAAATCGCATGTGGGCTCACTGATTTAGAGAAATTGTAAATATCATCATCATCAAGTTAATGATTTTACTTTAAGAGCATAAATGCTGAAAATGCTCTTTCCATTCAACTCCAGGCACCTTCTCGACTTATGAAATTTATTGCTGTTAACCCACACCCTTTAAAAATATGTTGGGGAACATACCACCCCCATCCCTCCACCTCTGCACCTAGTGCCAAAAAATAGATTATTTTGTAGATTATTATCAATAATATATAATAATAATCATAATAATAATAATAATTATTATTATTATTAGGCCTATATTATTGTTTTATTATTATTATTATTATTATTATTATTATTATTATTATTATTATTATTATTATTATTATCTTATTTATTTCTATTCCGATTATTATTATTATTGCCATAGCCATAAATATTTTATCCCACACCACATGTCAGGAAGTTTAAACCATACAGAAAAACAAGAAATTCATAATGGCAGTTGACGCTTGCTGACGCTTGTTCACGCTTGTTGATAACTTGACTTAATAAAGTTGTGAAAAGTATCTGATAAAAACATCAAAGAAAGAAGTTTGCGGATGGGTGTAGATTTGGCAATATAAAATCCGATTATTTAAAATGGAAAACGATTTCCAATTTTCATTTAAGTACAAAGGAACATATTCTAAGCTTTCAGTTCCTATAAGCTTCCCGTTGGAAGGAGGCGTTGACGAATTTGTTGGGCGGTTGATGACAGCTCACAACCTACCCTGTTTCATCCAATCAGGTAGGTGGACGGCCTCATTCCCGTCTGATATTCGTAGTTCCTAGGCTAGTTGATTGGTCAGGCCTAGGCCTAGCTTTTAGGGCCTAGGCCTAGTCTAACTGGATTGCAACCAAATGCAAAGCTGTTTAGCATAGGGAATCATAATATGTTATTAATGAATTAAACGTACGATGTAAATGAGTGTTAAAATATTCTAACGAAATATAGGTCTAGCCTAGGCCCTAGCCCTAGGCCTATATCCAGGCAATAATATTATATATTTGTGTTGTGTTTATTATTTAGTAAGACAGGTTTAGTTAGGTCAAGGTCGACCCCTAGAGGCCTATCCTAGGCTAGGGTAGGCCTTAGTTTTGTGTAGTTGTTGTAGATTTGCGAATTGTGCAATCTCTTCCTTGCTCAATTTGTGAATTGTGGTGCAAAGAAATCTCGCACAATTTGAAAACTGTTGTGCAAGAATTTCTTTGCACAAAATGAAAACTGTGAAGAATCTTAACTGTGCAAGGAAATTGTTGCACAGTTTTAAAATGTGCGTGTTATGTTTCTCGTTCACTCACCGAGACAAATGAACAACAAAATGACATTTAAGTAATCCAAACTGGTTGTCTTTATTGTCCACCATATTTAACAACAAACTCGACCTCCTTTTGCCCTTACAATAATAGATGGCGCTATACAACTTAGTGTGGACAATTTGCAAACTGTTCAGGGGTAGCTCGTGCAAATTTTAATCGATTTGCCATTTTTGATACTGTTTTATTATTCTTTTGTTGATGGGCTGTGTGACCAGTGTGACAGGTTTATAATTGGAAAGTAGAATCGTCTGTAGGTCATGTGTATGAGTGGGTTGTAGGGCAGTGGGAGGGGTTGTGAGGGGATGCTGTAGGGGGTTTTGACGGTTATTTTTGTGGGTCTAAATATTTTTTTGGGGGTTCCTATGTTTTTTTAAACAATTAAAATAGAATATTTAAATAGCATGATTATGATTTATTATAGGTAGGCTTAAACAGCCTATATTTATTCAAGTTTATTCCAGTGAAACAAATGTAAAAAGTATAATAAAACAGCATTGAATTGACAACTTGAAAAAATACGGAATATTTGACATAAAAAACTGAAGAAAAAAATGAAAAATTGGTCAAAGCAAAGGCAAATGTCATTACATCAAAATGCGAGACTAGGCATAACCTATCCCAATTAATACGTACACTTTCAGGCATCATAAAAGCCTGAAATAGCGACTCCGGAAGCAGGCTACAGGTACTGCAAGGTTGGGCCTACTGTAGTGTAGGCCCTATGAAACTATCAGACCTAGCTATTTAAGTAATAATATATTAATATTTATTTAAGTAGTGAATTGAATCCTTAATAAATGCAATTTGTTTTCTTATTTTTTCCATTGTAGTACCAACTGTGTCCCACACACACATGGCCTATCTTTTTTCATTGCATATTCTGATCGCTTAAAACATAAGAAAATTGCTGTTGGCCAAACCTATAATACCTCATGCAATATTGTGCACATTTCTAAAAATAAGCGCAAATTTTCCCACAAAATCAGGCCTGCTTTAACATAAGACAATTATTTTAAAATTAGATTGGAAATGACCCAAGATTTCCTTTGTTCTTCCATCCCGGCAGTTTGTTGTGTGTTGCATGCTTTTGATATAAAAATCCAGTCAACCAAACACTGTTGCAGCCAAGCGAATGCTTACTGCTCATGCTCAGTTCATAATCACTGAGCCATGTAAATGAAAACAACTACCGAATAGGCGTCCCTGACAGCGTAGGCAAACTTGTTTGCATCCGAAACGGCTCTATGCCCCTTGGTCTATAATGGCTAGGCCACACTGTAGGCCAAACTGGGGCATAATTTAAGGCAGTATTTCATATTTGTAATCATGTAATCCATAAAGATATTTAATATAGGTAGCAAACAGGTTTACCTAATCTTTCGGTATTACCTGTCAATGACTAATGGTTCATGAATATTTGAGAAAAGTGTATTTTAAAAGCTAATGTTTCCAACATTCAATTGCTCCAAAAGTAGTAATTAATACGAAAATAAAATATGTCAATTGGACTGTATGTACATATTCTCTGATTCTGAACATGACTTACTAGGTACACAAAAAAATACCTTTTCTGTTGTTGTAAATGATTTCAGAACATATATGTGCTTATAAATGTGCGTAAACTGTACTATGGATTTAGTGTTTTTCTTCAATTCAGGCATTTTACCAAGTGTCGGGACTCGGTTAGGCCTAGCCCTAGACGGCTGAGGTAGGGGTTGCCGAATTACAAGCCTATTCAAGTTCAATTTACTGTCATACAAAAATGAAATTTGTTTTCCAAGGTTCACAATAAAAACAGCCTTATGTAGGCATACCATAAATTTCAGAATTTAAACTGCAATATATGTGTTTATGAAATTGCCAAAGTTTAAATACTTTTTAAAAATATTATACGTCCAATACAGCCAAGAAAATATCTGCTTTTCTTGTGTGTGGAAGTTGCCCGCTTGCAGTTCGAACAACCTTATTTGCATATCAATGAAACACAAGAGATCAAAAACTAGAGAACAATAGAATCCAGTCGCGTTTCCAATCTCCTTGTATAGTTGTCTCAGCTTTAACTCTCAATATTCAACCAATATGTTTTGCGCACTTATTTTATTACCAATTTTATGTGCATATTTGTGTCATTTTTTGATATCCACTGGGCAAATAAATACTTTACATTGTGGAGTCCAACTTATTATAATTATTTCAGAACTGCAAAACTCACTGACAGCCTTTCTTGCCAAGGGGACTGCTACCTACCATGATACATGTGCAGAGGAGGCGTTGAAAGCTTTGCAAATTGGCGACGATGACATCGGCAACATTGCTGAGAAATGGGCGAGGGCGTTTACCCAGGTATGGAAGATTTATGAATGCTGGATAATGACTCATTTATTTCCACAGTGATAAAGCAGTACAGATTATCCTGATTCGTTATGCAACATTATGTGGAGTTGAATAGCTCAGTGGTTAAGGTGCTTGCCTTCTGATCCCAGGGTACTGGGTTCAATTCCTGTGAAAGGAACTTTTCTCACGACTAAATCAACTCCACTCCCTAAGCCTCATAAACAGGCTTAGTTTATAAAACATCATTCTCATCCTGTAAGTGGCCAGTATACTTGCTGTTGGATGTGAGGCAAATAAAAAAAAAAAAAAAAAAAAAATTTCAAACAAAGGTCACATTAAAAAAAAAAAATGTCAATCAGTAGGCCTACCAATTACTACTGTAATAGATTTTACAATGGAGAAAATCATCTGTAAAATTGAATAATGATCAAATTTTTTAAAAGAGTTAATTGACAGTGTGGGTTGAACTACTATTATACTGTACAGTATTACATTTTCATAAAACAGAACTAAACAGAAGAAAAAGTAGACATTAATGATAATTACATGATGATGACCATTGTTACAAGGGCTGTATTCCCTGTCTTTAAAAATTAAAAAAAAAACTTTAAAAAAATAATTTTTTTTCTTGATTAAAATTATATTACTTGCATGAATGATTCTCTTATCCTGAAATAAAGAACAGAAAAAGATAGGCACGCACATATTTTCATAAGCAATCAAAACCAAGTAGGCTAATTGTTAAGTTTCATTACCCAAGTCGATCATTTTGGCTCTCTAAACCGCAAGAATCTCAGTGTTTCAGGGGCTTCGCTCCGTACCCTCTCTGAAACCCATCCCCCCTCCAGTCCTTCGACCCTCACTCGGTTGGCGCTTCGCGCCAAAGTACGTACACATTCAACCCACCTTAAAAATTCTAACACCCACCCTCAGTTTTCAAGCTACATCCCTGTAACCATGCCATGAAACCTACCAAATCAAACTGTTCCCGATGGCGAATAAGACTGCGGTTCTGTCTGTTCGCGATCTCCACTGTTTGTAGCTATGTATCAACGGTAGGTTTAGCACGGAGGTTAGCAAAAAATCTTTGCTGACATCGTGTGAAAAATTATGCGACTTTCATACGGTACGGGGCAGGGACTACCAAATTTACCTGGTATTTGCCACACTTGTGCTACCAAGTCCTCGCAAATATACCCTATACATGCTGAAACTCTTCCATAAATTCCTCAAAAATACCCCCGTAAATGCAGCACCTACTCGTCTAGAAATATTGAAGAATGAGCACCCCGGGTGATGATGGTAGTAGATATCTAGATGTGTTCCAGGTCACAGCTCATGCGTAATTGCCTGACAGCCTGAGGAAGGTCATTCACTGTGATGACTTGGGAAGTTTACCCGACACGCGCTGTTCGCGTTGGACTTTCCTGCTAGGTAAAACTAACCTGGTCAGTTTTCCTGGGCAAGCGGGACTCGGTTAAATTAACCGCGCGGCTTGGGTAAGTTTCCTGTCAGGTAAACTTCCTGTGCTGTTCGCACTGGACTAATTATGGTAAAACTAGCCAACGTGTTGGTTAGTTTTACCAAAAAAAGTCCAGTGCGATTGTGGCTTTACTTTAATTTGATTGATTGGTTTATTTATTGATTAATTAATTTATTTAATTATTGATTAAGTTAGTTGACCAATTGATTGGTTGATTGATTGATTGATTTATTCAATTACTGATTAAATTAGTTGACCAATTGATTGGTTGATTGATTGATTTATTTATTCAATTATTCATTAAATTAGTTGACCAATTGATTGGTTGATTGATTCATTTATTTATTCAATTATTGATTAAATTAGTTAACCAATTGATTGGTTGATTGATTGATTTATTTATTCAATTATTCATTAAATTAGTTGACCAATTGATTGGTTGATTGATTCATTTATTTATTCAATTATTGATTAAATTAGTTGACCAATTGATTGGTTGATTGATTTATTTATTTATTCAATTATTGATTAAATTAGTTGACCAATTGATTGGTTGATTGATTGACTTATTTATTCAATTATTGATTAAATTAGTTGACCAATTGGTTGGTTGATTGATTGATTTATTTATTCAATTATTGATTAAATTAGTTGACCAATTGATTGGTTGATTGATTGATTGATTTATTCAATTATTGATTAAATTAGTTGACCAATTGATTCATTGATTGATTGATTGATTTATTCAATTATTGATTAAATTAGTTGACCAATTGATTGGTTGATTGATTTATTCAATTATTGATTAAATTAGTTGACCAATTGATTGGTTGATTGATTTATTTATTTATTGATTTATTAAATTATTGATTTAATTGGTTGACTGATAGGTTATTAGAAGCATAAAAATTCTCAGCCAGAACATGCATTTACAAAAGCATTAAAAGGGTGGAATATCTTCCTAATAAACATGTGTGTACACATGAAGTATTTATGTTTATAAGCTTACAGTACTTTCCTTGTGTTTTAGACAAGTGGATGAGATGGAGAGAGCTGTACAGGGGTTAGATGTCACACATGATGACTCACAAGTTAATAGACTGGCTGCCCTCCATTTTGAAAACACCCAGGTAAGGCAAGGCGTACAAGTGATAATGTGGTGTGTTAATGTTTTTGGTAATAACTGTTAAAGGTTCATGTTATCTTGCCTCTGCTTTCATCAAACCAGGGCAGCTTGATGAAATAGTATACAGTTGAACTTGCCTAAGTCATGAGTTGAAAGATTGCCTGTTCCATTCAATGAGAGGGAGCCAAGTTGAATGGACCAGTCAATCTCATGAAAATATTTCCATTGCATGAATATAAAACATTCATTATTTGCTTTATAACACACCTAAAACATATTCTTGTCATTTGATATTTTTTGGAAAAATAAAATCTACCTTTTTTATAAATGGAAGGTCCAATCTCTTTTTAACCAATGAAAAGATGGTAGTTGGTTGAGGCATGTAATGGAGTGAAATGGATAGAATAAGAAATGCACAGGATGCAACTAAAAATGCAAGGAGAAAGTAAATTTTCATGATGAGTAACGAAATGGTGTAAAATAACTAATGTCAGGTGATACGAAACCCACTGCAAGGAAAGATACAGGACTTGAGTGCAGACAAAGTCGCTACAATCAGTTTTAATCAACTCCATTGTACTGCTCTTACTTCCTGGAATAATAAAGTATTAATTTTTGTCTTTGGAAGCATGGTTAAATTACAATATTAACAATCACATTACTATACATTTATTAACAGCTTGCTGAGGCAAAATGGGCAAATGAGTTGATCAACCTGCAAACCAACCAGAGGCGAGAGTTCAAGGAGTGGGTCTACCGACTAAATGAAGATGTGAAGAATGGACAAGAAGGCAAAGTCTGGTATGATACTATTCTACTAAGACATATCTGTATAACTTTTACGAGATTAGTTGAGACAAAAAACACCTTACTACTACCCAACTCAATTCACAGAGTTGATATATTCAACAGATTATATGCACAGTGACTTAATTTTCACTATAATTGTATAATTGTTTTAAAATAATTTTTGTTGTAATATTGATACACAGTAATATTGTTTATTAGTATTGCATTATCAAAACTGTTTACTTACCAATATATATCAATATACATTCTTGGATGCAATAGACAATCATTTAATGAAATATCTGTGTTTGTGTTTGGTTGAAAAACAATTGATCTCGTGATCTCTGATGAGGGCAGTATAATAGAGGCAGTAGAGTATAGTGGCCCTAATAGCCAAGCATACAGAAAAGATCTATTAAGCATTCAGGCGAGTGTATCTAGAGCTCCTCATCTGAGCTAAAAATTATACAACATAATATATATAAAGCTCAGTCCAGACAATCAATTAATTTCCTTTGACAAAAAACTGATACATGGCCATATATAGTCATGATGTGCCTATATATGGTCATGATGTGATGTCATCATGACCGTATTTAGGCATGTCACATGAGATTTGATAGTATGGACAAGGTGCTTATTATAGAAACCAAATTTATTTCAAATTATTCCATCGAATATTTGTGTTCGACAGTGACTTTTTTTTTTCTTTCGTTTCTTCCAGGCAAATTATCTCTAACATATTTCATTTAGAACTGTATGTACAGTACCTGTTTTTGTATGCTTGCCTGAATTCATTTAATAATTCTTTTGTCTCTTTTATTTTTTAAGACTTTCATTATCATTTTTAAGGTTTTAGTTATCCCTTTTGTTTGCTTTTGAATCTGATTTTCCCCTCACTCTTTTCTTTGTTTCTTTTATGCATGTATTTTAATATAAATTTTATACTCTGTAAATCTGCATGCAGTTTGGTCACAAGGCCACAAGATGTAAATGGTTTTGGTGTTTTTTTTTTTATTAAAAGGAAAAAAATGTGAATAATTATAAGTAAAAATGTATGCTAATTGGGCAGTAGAAGGCAAATTTCTGTATTTTTTATATGAATAAAATTAAATCTTTCTGTAAAGGATGAAACTTGATTTTATTAAACAGTCGCAAGATCCGTGCAATGTCTGACTCGGCACCACCACGTGTTGAAGAAGAAACCCATGTGGATGAGAGGAGGATGGAGGAGAGTTTCACGATCCATCTTGGTAAGTATATATTTCGAGCAGATACAACAGTGGTACATGCCCTCTACATCAACGTCCCCTTTTTCATTGACTTCTGACGACTGTTGTACGACAAATCCCTGCTAGACTATGCAACCTTGTTTGCTGAATGCCGGTTGTAATCTTAACGGCTCGTCATTAAAAATGAAGGGCCAACCTTTTCTGTAGAGTCAAGTCTGCCAACTCTGGCTTAAGAAACAGAAATCCCTTTGCATTCCTAACCAATTAAATAGATAAAAAAAGGTATGATAGCCCTCCTCCCTCAACCTCCCCCAACCCTACTAGACAGAATCTGAAAAATAGAGCAAATTAATACATAGCAGGGTACATTTACCGATCTGTACCATACCCGAGGAAAAGGTTGGGTAACGGTAGGAGAATAAGCCATAACTGGCAGTGTCGATGTGCTGGATTGCGTCACTAATCTGTGATTACTATAGCAGCAGTAGAGAGACGCTTAGATTAAATCATTCCATAACGATGGACATTAATGAGCCACAGCATCACAACTCTTCCAAAGGACGCAATGGTTCTTTAATGGGCACGCAAGCCAGATTTATACACTGGAGACTTACTATTTTCCGTCCTTACCTGAGAAGACTTGATTTGCTTCTCAACTTGCCAAAAACCTCCTTCCATTTTCCGACTTTTTTTTATTTACATGGCCTTATAACCTTGTTTGCAAATTATTCTGATTTTATTTTAATATTTCTTTATATTTTCAGGTGCCCAGATGAAAACAATGCATAACCTACGGATTGTGTGCATGGAAATACATGAATTGTGTAAACATAAAGCACTTCGCATAGGGTAAAGTATATTTTTAAAAATTTAAATCCTCCATTTGATCTCGCTTATTAATTTTCAGATTTTTGGAGAGAAATCTGAATTATACTTCTGTATTTTCATAGCATTTTTTTATGGTGTTTGTATGTTTGGTTTTTTTTTTTTTTTTTTTTTTTATTATTACATACACATTTTTAGTAGGCTTAATTTTGATACAAATTTTATATTTTTGTATTTAAGTGTTTGCTGTATTGTAATTTTAATGATTAATTGATTGATATATTTTTAAAAATTTTATATATTTGTATTTAAGTGGGCCCCTGAACATCAGAAATTATCTGTAAGTGTCGCTCACTCAAAATATGGTTAAAAAATAAATCAAATAAATATTCCCAATATTGGTATATCTAGGAGTGTAGGGTGCACACACCAAGTGAAACTTGACCCCCACACCAATGCCTCTTCCTGACTAAAAATATGCTGAGCAAATATAAGCTGAAGTACTTAATGGGCTCTTTTTTCCCAATTTTTAAATATTCAAATATCTCAACTGTTCCCAATTTTTTTTGTCAAACATCCTTTCTGTGCCTTAATCAATATTTATCTGATTTTTGTATGTCTTTGTTTTGTAAATTGTTGTATTTAAATGGATGCTAAGTAAAGTAAATCAGTTGTACAACATAAAAAAAAAAAATCTGGAGCCCAGTTTAAAATAAATGAGAATATTATAAAAACTGAGAGATTAGATATAGATTTTAAAAGAGATTATCCTTTTAGAAATTTAAGCGCACAGTACAGTAATTTCTATACTATGTTGGTATGTAAATTGAATTCACTATATAGTTTTCACTTGTGGGTGAATTCTTGTATTTCTCTTTGTTTATATGTCAGTGGGAGAATTCAGCCTGAACCGCAGCGCTTACAGACGGCAATGTCACTCTTCTCAAACTCATTAAGTGGCTTAGTATTGCTGGTGGATGACAGAGTAAATACTTATACTGGGGTTAAAAGAGGTAAGAATTAATATACAATACATGGTAAACAGTTGTATGCTATACAGTGTATGCTATATTAAGTGTATACAGTAATATGCTATTCAGTTGCATGCTGCTGGGTGTATGCTATACAAATGCACAGTATGTTGTATAGCTGTGTGCTATGCAATTATATGCTCTATAAAGTATATGGTAACAGATGTATGCTGTAAGTCTATGCATACAGGTGTATGCTATGCAGGTATGTATTATATACTATAATTATATGCTTTACAGATGTAGGATATGCAAGTGTATATGATATTGAAATGGGTAATATACATGATATGGTATTTCTATATAGGAGTATGCTATACAGATGTGTGTTATACAGATGTATGCTATACAGATGTATGCTATACAGATGTTTGCTATACAGATGTATGCTATACAGATGTATGCTATACAGATGTGTGCTATACAGATGTATGCTATACAGATGTATGCTATAGAGATGTATGCTATACAGATGTATGCTATACAGATGTGTGCTATACAGATGTGTGTTATACAGATGTATGCTATACAGATGTGTGCTATACAGATGTATGCTATACAGATGTATGTTATACAGATGTATGCTATACAGATGTATGCTATACAGATGTATACTATACAGATGTATGCTCTACAGATGTATGCTATACAGATGTGTGTTATACAGATGTTTGCTATACAAATGTATGCTATAGAGATGTATGCTATACAGATGTATGCTATACAGATGTGTGCTATACAGATGTGTGCTATACAGATGTGTGCTATACAGATGTGTGCTATACAGATGTGTGCTATACAGATGTGTGCTATACAGATGTATGCTATACAGATGTATGCTATACAGATGTATGCTATATAGATGTATGACATAAAAATGTATGATATACAATATACATACAGGTAAGAAAGATAGGTAAAAATAGAAAGAAAAGAAAGTACAGTGTATGGAAAAACAGAAAGAAAACGAAAGGAAAAGTAATTGATGACAAATAATAAGAAAGACAAGGAAAGAAATGAAAAGAAAGCAAAGAAAAGGAAAGAAAGAAAGAAAGGGAAAATGAACTGAAATAAAAATTAATAAAGAAAAGAAGTAAAGAATTAAAGACTGAATTCGTAGAATGAAATTGGTAGAAAATTAAAAACAAAAAAAAACAAAAAAAAACAAAAAAAAACACTAATAAAGAAAAGATGTAGCTCAGCCTAATTGGAAGAAAAAGAAAGGAATGGTAAGTATATATCTAAAGAATGCACCACCGCATTCTCTTTAAATGTCTAAATTACTTTGAATATTTCAAAAAAATAATGGCTGTATGGATGTATTCACAACATAATATAATATCATACAATATAATTTAATATAATATAAGAATATCATGAGAGGTAATATGCCAACTACATTTCCTAGTCAGTGGCTGCCAATAACTGATATATTTGCAGTGGCTAAATTTATTATTATGACATACAGGTGGATCATGTATAGATGTATGATATACAGGTGTAAACTGTATCCATAAATGAAGAAGTGATTACCAAGGATGCACAACCTCTTTAACCAATTAATAAATTGTTCATTAAGGTTGCACTTTAAAATGTTTGATTCATTTCAGAATTTGCAACTATATGTCAACAGTCAACAGACTTTCATTTCCCAGACTTGGAGACACAAATCCGCGTTGCACAGCAATACACAACAAAGGCAAACACAAGACGACAGCTACTTAAAGGCAATTCAGGTTGGTTGCTAATTTGGATACTTTGCTGTTCAGAAGTTAGATTGGTTAGGTTGCTAACTCAGATTGCTACCTGAATCATTTGGATTGCAACACACTTTTATGTATTTGCAAACAATTTCAGAAATTACTGAAAACCTATTTATATATATATGTATATATATGGTTGCATTCATAAAGAACCTTGAAAACTTTCCACAGAGTAGTAATATATTACAATATATGAAAATTATAATGCTGTGCAGGCAGTCTCTTAAGGAACAACGCAATATCCAATCATTGTCAACTTAGACGGCTCAGCTCTGTTGGCAGATCTCCGGAATTGTACTTTATTGTCAATGGTTGGATTCACACAGGAATCTGTATATTATTTGTTCCACTTTACTGCAACATAGTGATTGTTGCTATGTATGCTTCATAAATTTATCAATATTTTTTAATTCATATATAAATTATTTAATTTTTTTAAAGAATCGTCCAATGGTAATTGTGCATCACCCTCTGATGAAATTTCAAGCAATCTTAAACAAGGTATGAATAACTGACTACTTTATTGATTGATTGGTAGCTGACTAATACTGTAGGTTATTTGACTGACTGACTGGTTGGTTTTATTCATTATTATCCAAACTTGTTCATAATTAAAACCCCTTCATTCATCTTTAATAAACATTTTTTTCCCCCTTAGGAGATTTTTATATCACAAAACACTCAAATTTAGCCCAAGTCCATGTAGTCTTTCATCTGGTAACTAATGACAGTGTGAGGGCGCCAGACTTGAATTCAAGACACCCTGTGATAGTTGCTCTACGTAGCGTTCTCAAGTGCTGTGTGGATTTTGACATCCATTGCATTAGCATACCTTTGTTACTTGTCTACGAAATGCATGAAGTAAGTTTTGATACTTTAGGCAGGTATTTTTTTTCCCAGAATTGGACTGCATTGTGTAAATACTGTAATAATAAAACAATTATTTTGTATAGAAGTACCAACATTTTCACAAAGTTTATGCCAAAGGAAGATTTAGCTACTTTCATATTCTTTTAAAATACAGAAAAATTTTGAATCAAATTGCTACTTTTTCTTATTTATGAAATGCACGAAGTAAGTTTTGATATTCACTGCTGAAGTAATGTGCTTCAAATTACACTGGTATGTTAATAAGATTTATGCAGTGATGTGCTTTTTTTTTTTTTACATAGATTCAATTTACCAAAAACCAACCGAGAACAGTCTTGCATTGTAAACTTATTTATGTACGTTACAAAACGAGAAGAGGCAGGGTAGCAAACAAGTATTTGTTGTCAACTAATTTTTGTAATTTCCATGATAATGAAAGGCTACCCCTAATAAATTTTCTAAATTTCCAGTTCTCCACTTCCCCTTTTACCCAGACATCTTAAACAAATTTTTTTTAAAATACTTTGCCTACTGTGCTGATTTGAACCTTCATCCTTCAACTGAAAGCCGTGCACCCTGTTGTCATTATTTCTTCTTTTTTTTTTTTGCACTCGTTTTTTAGTGTATTTTTTTTTTATTTCATTATTCAGGAAATGACTATCAGTTGGTGTTTGAAGCGAGCTGAGTTGGTTCTTAAGTGCATCAAAGGCTTCATGATGGAGATGGCTTCATGGAGTGGAAATCAAAGTCGAACAATTCAGTTCATTGTGCCAAAAGTAAGACAAATGCATTAAAGTTTTAATCATTAATTAAGTTTATTATTTTAAAAATTATACTGTTTTATTTTAGCTAAAAATGTTGATAAAGTAATATAAATTCTATACTTTCTATAAAGTTTTCATTTCAAAATATACAAATACATAAATAATTGTTATCCTATATTTGTAGTAAAATGTCTGTAAATGATTGTCATTATCATCATAACAACATTATGTCCTTTACACCCCCAAATTCTATGCATATGGTAATGTATTTATTCAGCTGGTTTTGTGTATTCTGTACTACAGCAGTGCTAAAACTTTCTTGGATGTTAAAAAAGAAGATAATCAAAATTGGTCTTTAATTGGTAAAGGATACTGAAGTAATATTTTTAAGCGATATTATAATGCCCTCTCTTTGATAAAGCAAAATTTAGCATGATATACAATTATTATTATTATTACAGTAATATTATTATAATTTTTTTTTTAAGGGAATTGCAGTGGATCTCTTTGAACAGCTTAGCTCGATGCTACCCCAGATATTCCGAATGTCTAGAACAGTGGATCTGACGCGACAGTAGAGCAAAACAAATGTTTGTGTTGCCTTTGATGTTCACTGACTTCAGTTTCAAAAATTCTGATTTCCTTTCTTTTTTTATCCACATTTTGCATCCTTATAAAAATTTATTGAAATTATGAAGGAAATTATGTTGGAAATTAGTTCACAAACAATAAATTCACTAAAACTCTCTACTTTTGTTTCAATTACTTCCCCCCTCCCCCCTTTAAAACGAAAATTCCTAAGATGGTTTTTTTGTATTTGAGTCACACAAAGACAGGGACACAACATTTTTTTTGTGCCTAATGACTCTTGGATTGGATTGGATTGAATTTATTCGGTGTAAACACGGAGGGTTAGCTCACAAAAGTCTTGAAGAAGAGTTACATCCAGTGGGGTCCTTCTGGTGGTGATTGGGCAGTACACCGGGAGACAATCTCCGAAGAGTGTACTGCGTTCTTTAACATGCGCATGGGACCAAACCCCTTAAACGTCTCATCCGAAAGATGGTGCGCTATTGTAACTTGCATTTCAGCCCTCCAGCTGAAACACAAGGAGAGGCAGCGATGGGAATTGAACCGGGGAGCTAGAGATCTCCACGGTTCAGCGCACACAATGGCTATCACCAGATTAGTCGACTGATCTAAGCTGATATTTGCTATTAGCAATTATATGAAAGGCCTAATTGCCTAAATGCACTAGATAACTAGTTTATAAAGAAGGTATACATATGAATTCCATACATATTTCAACCACAAAGCATATTTTTTTTCTTCACTTTTTTGTCAAACTTTATAGAAAATATTTATTCAGACCTTTTTTGAAGAATTAAAGTAATGTTTGACCAAGTGACATGGAAGACTCGGAGTTAGATTTGATTATTATACATATTTAGATGATATACCTGCTACAACTTTCTGGCAGTAAGTTATTGAAATTTAAAATATATGATTAATTACAAAAAAATAATATTTGACCGTTGTATGTGTGAATCTGTATAGTAAAGTTCTATACCATGATTATAATTATGGACAGGGTAACTGTCCATTATATAAAGATTATATTTGATTTTATATGAAATGTTAAAAGTATACCAATAAACTATCTTTTGAAATCATGCTGGCAAAAAGTGGTATATAAGCCTAACATTTCATTATTGTGTACCTGTACTATATAGTCGGCATTCATGCTATATATCTGTAATAAATTTATTATATTTTATTTTATTGAATGATATGAAATTTAAAGAATCCCACAAAAATCCCAAGTCACAGCTTGAAACAGTCATGTACAATCTCAGAATGTAAAAAAAGAGTAAAACATTGTATAGAAAAAGCAATTACAATAACAAATTAATATTTAAAAATATTACCACAAAAAATATAACTTTACCCATGCATTTGAGCAAATTTCAGTACATAATATATAATTATACCTGGGATTTGTTATTGGGATTTATACATTATAAGACATTGCTATCATGGTATATACATGGTATATATAGCATGAGACACAGGTGTACAGTATATCATGAATCTGTTGTGTATAGCATGAATCCTAGGTATATAGCATGAATCCCAGGTGTACAGTATATCATAAATCTGATGTGTATAGCATGAACCCTAGGTATATAGCATAGCATAAATCCGATGTGTCATACTGTACACATAAGATTCATGCCATATAAGCCCACCTGAGTTTCATGCTATATACCTGGGATTCAAGCTGTACACATTGGATTCATGTTATACCCGGGATTCATGCTGTATACCTGTGATTCATGCTGTATACCTGACATATGCTATATACCTTGGATTCATTCTATATACCTGGGTTTCATAATATATACCTGGGATTCATGCTGTATACATCGGATTTATGCTATATACCTGTGATTCATGTTGTATACCATGCTGTGAACATTAATGTATTACACATAGGCCCTATCTGAGATTTAAATTAATGTAATTTCAAAACTTGGTGTTATGCTATATACTTAGGATGTTTTGCTTGCAGATTTTTATTATCTTAAAATAAGTCTACACAAGAAACCACATTCAGGGCCTATTTATTCACAGGGCCCTATCCTTTTTAAACTCTGCTGCCCGTGCTCAGTCCATCTTAATTAGGCAACCCACCGCCCGCCAATAATGATGATTTCGAATAAAAATAAAATTTTATTTTTGGCCAATTAGTGCACCCACTGCCACGAAAAAATGAAGAGTACAGCAAAAAATAAGTTTTCCTTTTTATTTTTATTACACCCGCCATTGCCTTGAAATCTCGAAAAATAAGATACTGTATGTATATTTCTTTCTAATTATGTGAATTTGAAGCATTTAACCGTTCCTTTACTACTCTGTTACATTTACCAACAAAATTTTATATTTATTTTCCACTGTCTGGATGTTTTGGCAAAACCTTGCTAAATTTAATTTTTATTCCCCCTCCTCCCTACTCTGACGATCTTGTATAAAAAAAGTATCATGATAGCTTAAATCACACGATGACGTTAGAGACTACAACGACGAGAAGAAAAAATGAATTAAACGAGAATGGAGAGAAGTAGAAGAATAAAGAAATCGGAATTAAAAAAAAATATATATTGTAATATTAATAGTGTATTCTGTATAATAATTTGAATAATACAAATGATATATACAATAATGAATGATATAAATAATGCCTATATATAGTTCTATATACATTGGTAAGAATAATACAAACAATAACGTATAACAGACTTATCAAGTTTGTAAAATATATTTTAGTTATCAAGCCTTCAAATATCCGTAGTAAATACAAAATTTCCGTAGCACCTAATAATTTGTGCCAATATGGGCTGTTTAAGTTACAGGTACAGTATTATAACAGGTCGGGAATTTCAAAGAAACGGGAGAGGATGGAGATATTTACGGGCCATTTTTTCACAATTTATTAATAATTATCTTGGGACATCGTAACCTTATGGAAAAATAATTTGTTCTGGAGACATCCACTGAGATCTGTTAGTCATATAAATGTAATATAATTGATTATAGAATTGTTATTGATTCAGCCTGTCAAATTATGAACTACAATACGGAGTTTACGAAAACGATAACGAATATGGTTACGTCATCAAATATTTCGACAGCCCTGTCCCTACAATAGCATAATATCTGCCACAATGTTTAGGCGATTTATTTCTTTTGCGTGAATCAAGGATCATATTCAGCTCATTTTCACGAAGAGGCACGAATGACGATAATGAAAATGATGTATTCGTTATCGTTTTGATAAGGTTGCGAAATCTCCCAATTATCAAATTGGATCATCAACGTAAATCAACATACTTTAAATGTCAGTGTAATACAAACCAGTTGATGTATCTTCTGATTAATAAGAAAATTAAAAGATTTAATATAGCAAAATTCTTGGGTAGGTCTAATCCTATATGCCTTGATGAGGCACTGTCATTCAATTATCAATATCATAATTGACGGGTCCAGGAATTCGAATATTGGGGAGTGGGGGAACGGGTATGGGGTGCGCAGGCCCTGAGACTTTCACTGATGGAGGGTCTACACCACCTCAGACCCATCATAGTTGGTAAAATTTGGCTTTTTAAATTGAATATAATTTTCTTTATTACTTATTTTTTTAAATATAATTTTGAAAAAGTTAGAGGTAGGAGTGGCTGGGCCCTCTTGAATCCGCTAATGAATATGATTGCTACCCGGCGATTTTTATATATCGAATTCACGAATTAGCTGTAACGTCCCCTCCACTTTTCGACTCCTCTTTTTATGTCAACTCAAGCACTTAATATTTTTTACAGGCCCGTAGCCAGGTTCTTGGGGGGGGGGGGGTCTGGGCGTGAGATCCACAGCAGCGTGACCACTCACAATTTTTGATATACCCAATGACTGGACGAAATTACCCAAGATTGATCAGCAAAAATTGCCCAAAATTACCCAAGCTTCATGAAAATGCATTAAAATTTGAAAAAAAAAAAACACCCCGTGTTTTTCGCATGTATAGTTTCCCCTTTAGTTCAATTTATAAACCATTTTTTATTGTAATTGTTTGTGTTAATTATTAAAATGAATATTCATACAGATATAAAAATACGCCCTCAGTCGGCCAGTGTTATCAGTAGATCAGTGATCAAGTTTTATCATGTAATGCATAAAATTAGGTAAGATCATAGAGAAATGGCAACGAAAATCACAAATAAACAATTCTGAACCCATGTTTATAGCAATTAACAGTCAATTAACAATGTTATGTGTACTTCGTTGAGTTTTGCTTACTTGAATGGACTGAAATATACTTTGTTACTTCTTAATTCTTCTATGACAAATATATTTAATTTTCTTAGTAAAAATAAAATACCCAAGGATTTGAACGGAATACTCAAGAACCCAAGACCAAGTAAAAATACCCAGCAGTGGTCACACTGGTCCACAGTCGAAGTCCCGTTGGGGTTGTGTATAAGAGACAGGTAAAACATTGTATAGAAAAAGCAATTACAATAACAAATTAATATTTAAAAATATTACCACAAAAAATATAACTTTACCCATGCATTTGAGCAAATTTCAGTACATAATATATAATTATACCTGGGATTTGTTATTGGGATTTATACATTATAAGACATTGCTATCATGGTATATACATGGTATATATAGCTGTCTCTTATACACATCTAGATGTGTATAAGAGACAGGCTTCACTCATTCCTCAAAAACATGTTGCTAATTACGGAGAAAATTTGTAGAGAATGACATTTAAATTTTTGTTATTTGACTGTAAAACAAAACCATAAGGGTTTCTTTATTTGTTTTAATTATCTGTTAACACTGAGCTTGTTCCCGTCTGCAAGCTGCCACGCACTACGAAACTGATCAGACTGTTTGCTTTAAAATTGCCAATGCATGTCCATACACATGCCCAGAACAATTTATCTATCTGGGATTTTACAAAGGGACAGTGTCTGTAAATCTGTACAGCACATGCGGTGTAAGTAGGGTTGCTTAGCGAGGCGATATCTCCGCTACTCAAGATTGTAATTACTTAAAAGCCTAGACAAAGATTAAATTTGTTTACAGTATATAAAAATTTGCTGACTAACCTACTCGTACCAACGTCCGCATGTCGCGCTAGCCAGGCCTAGACTTGCTAGTAGGATGGTAGGCTTAGCCTTGAAGGCACGAAGGTCCCAATGAAAAACAACGTCGCTCCTTGATAGCTAACATTGTCTATTTAACATCACAATAATTCATTATTAGACCTATAGTTGCTTTTTTAATTGTACTCCACAAACCTCAGCCGATACCTCGCAATCGCATAACTCGTTAACGTCTCGTATCTATTTTCGTGACGTCATGGCTCGCTGGCTCACACCAATTTAACCTCCTTGCTCACTCACTTGTGATGTCTCGCACTTGTGATCAAATAACACGCTGGCTCGCACTTTGGCAACACTCTTTGGCAGTCAACTCGCCCCTAGAAAACCCGCCCTTGGAAACTTGCCCCATAAAAAAATGTACACTTCCTAGACCATGCAGTCTTCAAAATCAAAATTGTAACCTTTGATAATTAACTACATTTTCCACATACATAGAAATTTTTTGAAACTTTATTAAAAAAAACCTAAACCATAATTCACCACTATAGACACCTTTTTGACAAAAATGAAAAATTACGACTTTGTTACCCAATCAGAAGTGTTCTAATATAGACAATGGGTCGTGTCTCATATTATTTGTTATATTTTTATTATTCATTATTTTCACTTGCATAAATAATTTTGTTCGAACATTAATATGCAGTTGTACTTCGCAGCACTTCACTGGCAATTTGCAATTTCTAGTAAAATGAATATTCATACAGATATAAAAATACGCCCTCAGTCGGCCAGTGTTATCAGTACATCAGTGATCAAGTTTTATCATGTAATGCATAAAATTAGGTAAGATCATAGAGAAATGGCAACGCAAATCACAAATAAACAATTCTGAACCCATGTTTATAGCAATTAACAGTCAATTAACAATGTTATGTGTACTTCGTTGAGTATTGCTTACTTGAATGGACTGAAATATACTTTGTTACTTCTTAATTCTTCTATTAAAAATATATTTAATTTTCTTAGTAAAAATAAAATACCCAAGGATTTGAACGGAATACTCAAGAACCCAAGACCAAGTAAAAATACCCAGCAGTGGTCACACTGGTCCACAGTCGAAGTCCCGTTGGGGTCTGCGAAACCCCCAAAGCAAGAGGATTTTTGTGCTTTATTGGTCACAAATAATGCTATAAAAGCAGATATGTTTGAAAATGTCTGTGTCTGGGTGGGTCTGCAGTGCATTAGTTGGCGTTGGAGGACTTATTTCGGAAATTTAAAGAGGGGGTTTCTCCAGAAAAGAGGGGATTTGCTAGAAAAGGGGGTTCTCCCGAACCATAACCCCACCCCCCCCCTGGATACGGGCCTGTTTTACATAGTCTTATATTTAACAGAACGGCTAGAGTGTATTTATGTACAAAAATACATTAGCCATACAATTTGAGACATTACCTTTGGGAATCAATTTGGGTATCTCTCAGGGCCCGTTGTGTTAAAAAGATGTAGGCCTATTGTCCCATGCAAAATAACAAGAAAAAAAAATCATAAAAATCATTTTTGAAATTAATTTGCCCATTTTTAATTCATCGAAATTATCAACTTGAACATAGAAATTAGTGTATTTAAAAATGTTTACCCATCATTTTACAGAGAAAATGTTAAAAAACAATTCAATATTCAGTAGAAGTGTTCTATTATAATTACCCAGTTTTAAATTCTATAATTTCTATGCTCAAGTTAATAATTTGTAGGCATATGTTACTGCAAAATGTCCAAGTTAATTTCAGAATTATTTGTTTATGATTTGTTGTCATTTTCAAGGGCAATACCCTTACATCTTGAAAACATCTTCAAAAGATTGAAGATTATTTTGGGGTTTTTCGAAAAATGTGAGGGGTCTCGGAAAATCCTGTACAACCCGGGTCTCGAATTAGATGTTGCACTATATGAGACAACCATCCTTAAATATCTCACTATAATAATTATTGACTGATGTGAATATCGTTCAAAATATTTTTCCCAAATACACATTTATTACTTTTTTAATTGTCTGGCTTGTGTAAATTGGACCTGCTTTCCCCTCTCAGCGGTAGTATCAACACCCATATAGGCTACTCTTGATTGTTTTTTAAAACCTCAACACGACAGCTAGCTTATCAGTAGGCCTAACCCCTGTTAGACACCTTCGGGACCATAAAAAGTTTCTCCTAATTAATAAGGGTGTGGGCCTGAATAGGGGATATGTCCCTGGGTGGGGGTCTCCATGGACCAGTGGCGTGAGTCTTAAATGAGGTTCATAGGGGAGAAAGGTGAAGTGAGGCCTCGATAATTAGGTGAGAGGCGCCAGCTCATAAAACAAGGTTATTTGAGGTGATTTTTACTTGAGCGTAATTGTTTGGGGTTGGCGGGGGAGGGGGAGCTGGGGGAGTGAGCTTTTTTGGGAGTGCGACCGGCCCTAGCGCATCCGCTCAGGTGCTGGTGAACCTAGCTAGACTTCGGTAATTGACGGTGCTTTGGTAATTTTAGTGATTGGCAATCAAAATTACGTATTGGCTTAAGCAAATTAATATTTGGTCGTGGCGTCGGACGACGGGGGATCCAGGCCTGTCCGACATGTGGGGTGGGGAATTGTTCTCCCTTATCCTCGCCGGCGCGACCACTCTGTAGATTGGGAAGTGGGTTGGTGGGCGTGGCCTTTTTTGCCTAATAGGAGTACGCTGGATGGCTATACCTAGTACAGTGTATTCAGAGAGATATCAGAAATCAGTTGATGATATTCCAGCATAATTCCGTAGTATTTTTATGTGGGTAACAAGCATCCTGATACACATAGTAACGTAGCCTATTATTATGCACTCGTCCGTATTCTGGTGATATTTATTACCTACCTTATATAACGGGTTTTTTTTTTTTTTTTTTTTTTTTTTTTTTTTTTTTGTCATGGTCTAATTCTAACTATTTTCTTGGACAGACAGATAAGAAACTATCCGTTACTTTTATCATTATCCGGTTATAAAAATTAGGATAGGCGCCAGCCTAATTTCAAAGCTGCTGTCATCTTTAAAGACACTGTAGGCCTACTTAAAAAAAATAGATAAAAACACATGAATTAACATTTATGACAAGGTACCATGGTCGAATATTTTCCCATTAAAAAAACAAAAGGTCAGATATCCACCATTTTGTATTCAGAGGGGCCTGATACTTGTTTACTGTACTGTACATGTCTTTATCATTATCATTATCGTACTCGTTATTATCATCATCAGCTGCATCAGCAGCAGCAGCATGCAGAAGGTAAAACGTGACCTCGGGTCAGTAATGGTAATTATTACTCTCCCATTATTTTTAACAGAGAAATGTTCGATCATTATTCAATAAATGGATCGTTTTCTGAAATCATACTTGGAAGGTAATAAAACATAATTATATTGTTTAAATTTAATTTTCTTTGGCTCAATTTCTGATAAATACAAATACAAACGATAATTATTTATAAAATAGTAAGGGGTTAAATACAATTAACAGAACAGCCTTAGTGAACAGTGAGCTCGGAAAATCCGTGTGTAATCATCGGAAATGAATGCGGTAGGATCTACGTAATTTCAGATTAAAGGAAGTACCTGAAACTATATATTTAACAGGGTGAGACTTGGTGTTGTGTTTAATAAACAAGCATTTTTATCTTGCATGATTGGGCTCTGCTTTCTCGACTGATTAAATTATCCATTTGGCTAGGCCCCACTATCTAGGCCTAGGCCTAGGCTAGTCTGGGTACACTGACTGAGTGAGGTGACAACGGCAAGGGTTGCGCGACCCAGTCTGGCAGGGTCTAGGCCTAGGCCAAGCCCTTTCACGGTATAGCCTAGGCCTAGCATAGGCTAGGTTGGACTGTGACCTAAGTTTGTGTGGTAGGAGTCAAGGAAACAATTGTAGGGAGTAGGGAGAAGGTTATTAGGCTAACCTAACTACACTGTAGTCTACGCTAGCCCTTTTGGCCTTCCTAAGAGTACTGCTAGACCTAACTAGGCTAGGCCTAGGCCTAGCCTACTCTAGTAGTAGGCCTAGAGCCTAGCCTGGTTTTTGAACAGAACAGCAAAAAAAACAAAATGGCAATAAATCAATATGGGAATGACCAAAACAGCAAAAAACCAAAACCAATAAGTCAATACGGCAGTAAGTCAAAACGGCAGTAGGTCAAAACGGCAAGACCAAACAGCAATAGGCCTAAGTCAAAACGGCAATAAACCGAAATCACAATATACAAGCAGTAAACATTTAAATAATTAAAACTTTAAAATACAGACAAAATGAGGCTAAACAATTTATGTAAAAAGTAAAAAAAAACACGAAAGAAAAAAAAAACACTATAATAATAATGATAAATGGTAATAATGATGATGATAATATAATAATAATAATATTAGTATAACATACAAATTTAATTGCTAAAAAATGTATGTTAAAAGTAAAAATGCACAAACATACAATACAATTCAATAGTAAAAGGATTGGGGAACACAATGTAATAATATAAAATATAAAAGCAGTGAACATTTAAATAATTAAAACCTTGAAATACAGATAAAATGAGGCTAAACAGTATTATGCCATGAAACTAAAAATATGCGAAAGGAAAAATCATAATGTAATTTTAAAAATAATATAGGCCTAGTCATGGATGTAAAAAAAAAAAAAAAAACCCATTACAAAACAAAAAAGAAAACATGATTCAGAAAATTATAAACTGCTGCCCGCGCCCAGTGGTGCATCATTCTTGGCATTGATTTTTGCTCCTTTGCCGTTTTGGTCTATGCCTATTGCCATTTTGGTAGTTGACATTGCCGTTTTGGTCTATTGCTGTTTTGGTACTTATCATTGCTGTTTTGGTTTATTGCCGTTTTGGTTTTTTGTCGTTTTGACCTGCTCCCTCTAGCCTAGGCTAGGCCTGGTAGGTGTATATTAAACCAGAGGGAGTTGATTTTTAAACTGAGCATCTAACCAAGGCTTAGGCCTACATTAGTAGTACCACAGGCCTAGACTAGGGGCCTAGTATTAGGCCTCAAAGCCTACACCAGACGACAGTGAGTGTGGCAAAAGTTTATTTTTTTCTTGAATTGAACTGGCATTTATTTGCTCATGTGTCCCATTATCCACACAGCCATAATTAGGCCCTAGACAAGGCCTTGGCACACCAGATTAATTGTGATGTTAACGATGAATAAGAGGAACTTTTTAAGGGTATAAAGGCCACTGGTTAAATTATGTAGTGTAGGCCCTCTGATTGGTGGAGCTGACTTTTGAGAATGTCAGAAGAATAATCATCACTAGAAATTTGATTTGATATATTTGATAAACAAACAAAAAACAACAAACGCAAAACCAAGAAGTACAGAGTCAAAAGTTATGATATCTGGGATAATTTTCTAAAAAATCGTAACACAAAATTTATTTCCAGAGAGATACAAAAATAAAGCAAACCTTTTCTATGCTTGGACTTCCATTTTTTTGAGAAAAGGGACAAATATCATACTTTTTGTCCTAAAAATGATGTTTGTTTTCATCCAAGTGTGGCATATCACATTTGGATGACAAAGCAGTTTAAACAACAAGGACACATGATTTATGTAAGTTCACTTTCCTTTCATATAAGATTTGTTGTGATCCATTTTGAGACGTCACACATGCAAGAATCATGGTAGTTGAGACACCCTCCAATGTGGTGTTTGTAATTGAAGGCACGGCTAACCTTGCAGCAAACTTTGAAAAGTTGAAGACATCTTATATAGTACCAACACTTGAGTAAGTAAAGTTATTCAAATGATAATTATACACTAGTAGTATGTATCCATCTGTTTGCACCTTAAAAATTAAAAATGTACACTATTATAGTATTTTTTATTATTATATTTGAAAATTAGCACGCTTCACTGAAATGTCAAAATTTATGGAAGTATGAAACTATGGAAAAAGTTGAGTTTCAAAGTCAGGCTGTGAAAGGAAAAAAACATTTTTGTATGTTGTACAACTGCTTTTTTTAAGACACAAAAAGATGATAAAAAAAAGAAATTTGGAACCATTAATTAAATGATACACAGATTTTTTAATATTTCAAAACTGGGGAAAGGGGTCGTAACCACTGTTTTTCGACCTTTTCCCCCATTGTTTAATATTAAAAAATCTGTCTAATTAAACTGCTTCCGAGTCTTTTGTTAAACACCCTTTTTGTGTCTTAGAAAAATAAGTTGTACATCAATTTCTCCCTCCCCTCCGGAGCCTGGCTTAAGAAGAGATTTGAATTGAGAGTAAAATAAGGGTCATCTGTTTTCTTCATCAAGATCGAGAGATTACAAAGCATCCTTTTCTGTGACCACCCCACCCCCACCCTCTCCTCAAAATTGCATAATACAGTATTAATGATGATTGTTGTCTATAGGGATCATCATTTACACATTTTCATAAAAGTTTAAGTGCTCTGCCTATTTTATGTTTTATACTATTATAGCTGTAGGAAACTAAGAGCACCGTAAGTGGTAGACATTTTAAGGGTAGGTGGGTGATAATATTGGTAAACTATTAAAATAATTAGAGTGGATTTAAGGGTGGTGAAGGGCTGGGTACAAAACTTAAAAACAAAACTACAAAACAGGCTGGGTGGCTCCGCCGTCCACCTTTGTCCACCGTCCATTCCTGAACTAACCTTTTCTAATTAGTTGCCTCTGAGACTTGTAGTAGTAGTAGTAGATCATAATCTTGATTGTGATTATCATCCTCAGGGTCATAATCATCATGACTATGAATTATGATCATGATGATGATGCCATCATCATTTAATGACATGATGATCATCATTGTCTTATCAGCATCATATGTGGCAAAGACAAGCCAAACCAGTCACTCGTCGCAAATTGTGTTTCAGAGAATATTGCAAAAACATGTTAGAATGTGAAATTTTTAAAAATCTATTTTATTTCACTAAACTAAGGTTTATATATTTATACATCATACTGTGCTGTTATTTTTCCAAATTTCAATGTTAAAACAACACTTTTTAATAATTTTATAATAGTTTCTGCATGAGAAATGCCTGAAATCATAAACTTTGAAGGCTTATTTCTCATATATTGTTCTTTAAACAGGTGTATGCTTAAATGCTTGTAACTTCAGAAGGAAATGTCGGATTTGAACGATTTTTTTACCATTTTATAGCTCTTATTTTACTCTTTAACCCTATATTAATAACTCAAAATCGATTTTTGCGACGAGTGACTGGTTTGGATTGTCTTTGCCACATATGCATTATCGTCATCTTGATCATCTTCATTGTGATCATTATCATAAATCATCATTCATCATCATTATCATCATCATAATTCATGTTGTTATTAGAGTATAGTGAATATAATGTGTTACTTATTTTATATAATAAATGGTACTGTGAGATAAAGAATAAAGAATAGTCCATTACAGTGTCTTTTTTTCCTTGTTTTCAGACATTTTAATGGTGGGCCACTTGTTGAGAGTGATTTCTGTGGTGATGTAAGTTGCATCTTTGAATTTAATGCTTAAAAATTAAATTTAACATATTGTTATAATAATACTGCACTGTACAATAATCAATTATGGTAAATGTTTAAGCTACACTTAGTTAATACTTGGCATGTCCTTAGAAAATTGCTGCAATGTTGTTTTTTATTTGTAGATAAATTTTACAAGAGATCATTCTTGTCTAAAGCAACATTGGTGAATATATACAGTTTGCTTACTGAATTGTTAGATAGCATGACATTCCAAATAACTACTGTACCTAATAATTGTTTTCATTTGTTCATCATAAAAATAATGCTGTATTTTATCTGTTTTTTTGTTTTTGTTTTTGTTTTATTGTTTTTGCAGCCACTCCAATTTTTATAGAAGGGTTTAGCATTTCAGTATAAATGTGTGTTAAATGCAGGATACATACAATTATTCAAAACTATAGAAGAATTCACATGTTGACCGATTTGTTAGCAGCAATGACAGACAAATTGCTATTTCCTTTGAAATTTTACCCTGCAGCTATATTTAATTAATTGGCGGGGAATTCCTAATGCTATTGAATGATAGGCGTATAACTAATATATGGTAATCCCAGAGGTTTAATTAAGCTCACACCCTCTGAATATGATGGTGTGCTTTAAATGCCCAGAAACCAGAAAATGTCAACCACTATAGCTAGACTAGCCTACCTTGGCATCACATGAAAGCCTACTGTAGGAAGACTATCAAAGAGAGTACTGTACAGTAGGTCAGTGGTTCTCAAACTTTTCGCATTTGCGTAACCCTCTGAACATATTAAATGTTCTCAAAAATTCACAAAGTCTTTAAGGTTTCTAGATTCTATTTATTGAAAACAAGTACCGTACATGAAATTTGTATCCCTGAGCTAGGAAAAAAATTAAACACATGAGTAGGGCCGTACAGTACAGTGGCAGTGGAGGATCCAGAAATTTTAAATAGAGTGTTAAATTAACACACAAAGTATAGTTAAAAACTTTATTTGAAAAGGACTATAAATGCAGAATTTATATTTTTACACACAGTCAATGTCAAGCTAACTCGCATGCATTGGGTATGGTTGTTTGTCAGCACTTTCGTTTGTCACCATCAATTTTGTTTTCTGAAGCGACTCTTCAAAATTTCTTCGTGACCCAGGTTTTGGGTCGTGACCCATAGGTTGCAGAACGGAACTTTAGAAAAAATCTCCACTAAAGACGTTAAACAGCTAATATATTTTGTGTCGGTTTTCCTAAAGTACTGTATCAATCGTAAAAACGAGCTTTACACATTTGTCCTTCAAAAACACTTTTACTAATGTATTCAGTGGTGGATACAAGGAGGAAAATGCTGGCGCAGGACCCCTGCCCGTCCCCCAAAGTCTTTCAAATTTATAAAAAAAAAAGGTAGGGAAAGAAAGAGAATTATATGCTTGCCATTATGGTCATCTAGAGCCCCGTTTTTCAACCCCCTCCTGTGGGTCAACTCCGGCCTGCCAAAGATTTTGATCGGTCTGTGCGCAACATTGCTAAAAATATATACTTTTCAGGCCAATTTTTAACAAAGTTTTTCTGTTTATAGGAACACCACCTACTGAAGACACCCCTACTATAGCTTTGTTTACAATTGTGTGGCTTTTTCAGAGTTTAGCTCACTGTATCTAGACTAGTGGCATAGGGTATTGACATGGGGAGGGGGAGATTAATGCGGATACTTCAATTTTTATGATAAAAATTGCAAAATAGCTTTTCGTATCGGATAATGGTATTAAGTGGGGTGCTTATATGAAGCGATGTCTAACCATTTGCAGCAACATCAGGCTCTGGGGCATGTTGTTCTGTTGAAAGCACTGCTTTGAAAACTTATCAGCTGAGGTGGTATTTTCCCCTAGGCCTATCTCTGAAAGTTCTTTCCAAGCCCCTTCCATTTCGAATCCACTACTATAAAAGAAAATGGGCGGGGCTGACATAGAAGTACACAAATTTATGTCGGGCCGCTGCTTGTCTCAACAGACTGGCCCCTCAGCTTAAAAAGGTTGAATACCCGGGATCTAGAGGTTTAATCATAAATTTTCTTACCTCAGGCCCAACCATGGTGGGGTTGAGGTGTCTGACCTTCTATCTGCGAAAGTCTCCCCCTGGACCCCTCATTCGAATATAGTATAGTATAATAGTATAGATAATAGTATATTTATATTATTATTTATTTATATTTATAATTTATATATACTTATATTTTACATTTTATATTTTATATTTGTTTTATTTTATTAGTGCAATTATTGTAGTCATTAAAAAAGTAATTTAAAAGGGGAAGGGCACTTGTTGGCTCTGCGCAAGGTGCTGACGGCAGAGCCTCACCACTGTTCTTGGTCTTGTTACCAAAACTTTAAAAGCATCCAGCGTCGCTAGTTTTCAACAGACAAGCAGGAAATTTTGTAGAGGTGATTTCAATCAAACGTTCATCACCCTTTTTTAAGTTGGACCCCAGGGTTTCCCCCTACACCTACAAAACAAAACAGGGGTTTCAGCAAGGACTGTACATGCCATTACCACTAACAGGGCATGTCGCATGGAAGGTCGCATGGATGGATGGTCGGTTAAAAATGTGTTCTAAAGAACTTGAGGCTGTGAGTTAAATTCTTGGTATTCAATTTTTTTTTTTTTTACAATTTTAAGAAATTTTATTTTTTTGAATTTTATGGTTTTAATGTACAAATGAACATTGTAAATAATAATTTTTTTTGTACAAATAAACATCCTAATTATTAAAAAATTTCCATCTTAATAGCTCTTCCAAAAAAACCCAGTATAATAACTTGCGCCTGTACCGTATTTAAGTGTGGAAGAACATGCAAACCAGTGAGCAGTCGCTCTTGTTAAAAAAGGAAATATGTCAAGCTCTACGAATGACCCAACCCCATGTTTCTCCAAAGTAATCGAGTATCAACCTATTTTTCAAAAATTATATGACCTTGAAAAATATGAAACATAATGAAATTGGCTTTTAAAGTGTTAAGTTATAGACATTCGACTGCTTGATTATGCTGTGGGACTAATGCCAATTATAGATGGTGCAGTCTACAGTGTTAATAAACAACTGTTTTTCATTAACCTAATATTGCCATGTTGCCCAAAGGGGTGACACCACAATTTTTATATTCCATTAAATCTAATACATAAATCATCAGTTGCCATTTTGCTGTTGGTTTAAGATTTTTTTGAAACAGTATTAACTATAGTGTACTGATACAGTACTTAAACAAAATAAAGGAGAAAAGGTTGGATGATTGAGAAGAAAGAATGTGAAAGTGATTCAAACAAATAAATAAACATAAAAGAAAAGAATATGAATCAAAATTATTTTAGGCTTTCATCATCAGTAGCCTGGTAGTAATGATATTATTGATGATATTGATGATTATTATTGTTAAGCACTTTGGGATTTTACTGTATAGTTTGTAGCGCTATAAAAATCAAAATTATTATTATTTTTAGGGGGTGTGCAGGGGTGCACGTCCTCAAAAAACTTGATCCCCCAGTCACCCACTGGGGGTGACTAAAATTTTTAACTTTTTTAAAATCACCTCATTCCACCTTATTTTGCCAGCTGGTCACCCCTCCGCCTTCACGTCCCCCTTCACTTTATCATCAAGTCCTTCTACTTCACCTTTGCCACTGATCAACACTATCATCTTTGTCATCATTATAGAATTATTATTATTATAGAAACAGTGAGATTTTAATAACAGACAGCAAAATTAGAAACTTACACCAAATTTACATCTATAGACAAAACACCTTAGCTAGTGAATGTTGAATATTCAACCACTAGTATGCCACGTTAGTAAAAGTCACCAAAAAGTTCAGAGAAAATTCAATTCGCAGAGCCTTATAATTATTTTACAGCCTATTATTGTTTTAACTAAAAACTTTTAGCTAATGTTTAATTTATTTGTGTGATGGAGGAAGTAGATATATCTTGGAAAGCCCTTGTAACTTTTAGTGCATGTCCCATGTAAGTTTTCGTCTTGTAAACATTACATACATATTGACATTAGGTACTAGGGCAAATCATCACTCCTTGATATATTTCTGAGGTAAATGTACATCGAAACAGAATTTTGCAGTACCCGCTGTGCTACTTAGGGATCAAATTCAAAGTTGTCATTAGGCACAAGCTTAGTGGATATCATACCAGACTATTTATTATCTGATGGCCGTGGGTTCGATTCCCACCCAAATTTTTTTCGCAAATATTTGAGAACAGACCAGGTATTATGTACGATAACACATCAGGTAGGGCAAAACATCACTTTATGATATTTTCTGACGCAAACACCTCAAAATTACATTATTGAGACAATATTTTTACGAACTCATTTATATGGGACAATTAATTTAAAAAAATAAATAAATAAAATACAGCACAGCAACTGCTTAATTCTGGTATAATTACAAATCTTGATTTGTGGTACCTGTGTTTCATTGCAGTGTTCTTGTAGTGTACTGTATCACATGGATTTTTCTGCCAAGTATGATTAGCTATTTATAGCAAGTAGAATATTAGAAACAGATGCTCTTCCTGTATTGCCATTCCCTCTGAAGATTGAGTCTTTATCCTTTATGAATTTATGGATAACAATTTTGCAAAATGATAATGATCTTAGCACCTGTAGATGTTCCACTGTAACACTACAATATCACTAGTGGAGGTGTTTCTTCACACAAGGATAGGCCTACTAACATGTTCTGTTTAATATTAATACCAGATTTTATGGTAGCTATATTAGAAGCATCATGAACCTTGCTTAAAAGCAGAGGTTAAAAAAAACTGTGGTACCACATTGAGAGTGACAGTCTTTATATAGATTGAAAGTAAAGCTGGGTATATCAGATTAGATTTTTTTTGTCTGTCAGACTAAAAAATATCTGATCGGATTAGAATTCTAAGAGATTGGGAAGAAACATGGCAAGCACAGATAGATATGTTTATGAATATTTGGGAGGAAAGATAATTACATTCAAATTTATATCTGAGAGTTCCATTTCCGGATCAAGAGGTATCACAGATATACAGTAACATTTTGTAGCTAAGTTTTTGTACCTTAAGATGTAGTCTAGTTGGATCTACCCATGGACTGATTATAGTAAAGCTATAATATCTCTATGATCTACCATAATGTAAAATTACCTTTTGGCTCCCACTCTTAATAATTCCTGATTCTGCCACTAACAGCATACATAATTTGTTTGATCAGATGATGTTTGAAAGTAGGTAATAGTATACAAAGTTTTGATCAAACAAAGTCTGACAGACAAAGATTGTATAATGATTACATAATGTTGAACAGTACTGCGAAAGGGTAGTACTGTATGTGAAGTGTGTTTGTAGCGATCAGGGGTGCACTATCATTTCCGCTGTCGTCTTAAATAGTGCTGAGATCACTATGGTGGATCACTGTTGTATATTACTTTAGGAAATGAATACATTCACTACTTAATTGGCTTTCATTTATACTAAGGTACAAAAACCTGCTCCTCTCCAATGGTGACAGCTTATATAGCCTATCATATTCTACAGTGCAATTAATCTCAAACATTTGTGAGCGAATCTGGCAAAACCAGCACTTTTTGTTTAAAAAAAGAAGGTTTCAAATTTCATTTTCAAATCAGCTAAAATTCATTGACTATCTTAATACATGTTGGACCAAAAATTTAAATTATATATTTGGCATATATGTTTTCCAATTTTAATAATTTTTTTGTATCAAAATAGGCCTATTAGAATTTTGACCTAGATTATAGATCTATTTTAATCTCATTTTTATTAGTTCCTATGCATGTAATGCAATAGGAACTATTGTAATCACTCTTGCTATTTCCTATGTTTTTTATTGTGTGTAGTGTGTATGTGTGTGTGTAGACATTTATGCAAATGCGCATGCGTC